TGCTGTCATTCAAATACAATTCCAAATCAATCTGCACGTTAGGAACCAAACATTTGCCTGTTTTGAACACCGCGATGTGGGGTTTGATGATAAAGGTATGATACGCTTTGCCGAGTAAGCGACTGGTGAGTGCTTTCAAGCCTGTTTTTCCACTCCAGTCGTTGGGGTTGGGTTTATCATTAGTGCCTGCATTGGTAGGGGTTAATTCTTCAAGGACATTGAGTTCATTCACCCATCCTTGAGCTGCCAAGGTCGTTTCTCCTTCTTGACGATTAAAATTCTGTAGGGTTTCTAGGTAAGCTTTCTGGTGATAGGCATTGCTTTGTTCTGTCATCAACACTCCATTGAAAGACACATTCATTTGATTAAAGAGAGAATGATCAAAATTGTTGACGCAATAGACATATTTGGTATCATTACCATCCGAAGCCCCTCTTTCATCATTGGAAAGTCCTCCTGTCCCTGTGGTGTTCATACGCACTTTGATTTCTAGCTTGGTTTCATTCAAATCATAATAATCATTTCATTCAAATCATAATAATCATCTCCTGCCGGTACAGTAAAAAGAATAGGACGTGTTCCAGTATTAGCCTGTTTGAAAGGAATCCACCGTTTGGCTTCATAACTATAGTCAATGTTGGGAATGTCAAACAGATTCAGGGACATGTTGACGGACTGATAGCTTAACATCGTTTGCGCTGTCTATTTATACATTTCCGTCCTTTGTTTTTCCAAGGGGAGATGACTGGATGCACTTTCCCTCCTTTTTGTTTTCTTACTCTTCTTGCAATCCAGGGATCTATTTCATACGGTTTATAATTAGTGAATCCCCATGGGTTGGGAGGTTGTCTAAAAATAGTGCCTCCACATTGATAAGGTAAATGGTAACGACCTATAGATCGTTGATGCCTTATGTGAGATTGTGATTTTTGTCCTTGTCTCACGGTTTACACCCCTAAAATGTCTTTCACATGTTGTCGTTTCTTTTTATAGCTTTGTTTGACTTTGGTTTTCACAGCCAGACCAACCACTGCCGGTATTTTACGTTTGAGTCCTCTTTTTACGACTTCTCCTGAATCTTTTAAGGCTTCGGAGGCTGACGAACCTTTTTCATAAGCACGTAATCCGTGTCCAATCGAACGCACTACACTTGGTCCAGCTATCCATTTCGCCTGGATGGTAATCTTCTTTTGGGGGGTACTCGCCAGAATACTCAAAATTTTCTTCACAGTTAAGACGCTTGGCAATCAATGAACGATTGTGGGCAAATTGTCGTTCCTTTATAATCGCTGAAACAAAAGGCAGTATTGGCCCTTGAGCTGTTTAGGCTTCATTTGCGTACAAACTCGCTGAAGTGTATTGTCCCGTGCGGGAAATAATTTTGTTGCTGAGGCAGGCTCTTTCCATTAACGTACGTACTCATTGTTGCCATGATTGCTGACGCAATTACTATGTCACCTTCGTTCTGCTGGCAAGCAAATTGCTTATTTCTAAAAACGCGGGACATTACTTTCACTGAGCTAGCGAAATCAACTTCATTTTCACCCTTTGTTTTCGGGGATTAGTCACCACATCTTATTTACGTCAATGACTAATACTCCCTCTTTTTGTCTGCACGCAATGACCTTTCGTTTTTTTCGCTTTCCCTGGTACGTTAAGTCTTATTTTCTTTTTCCCTTCCTAATTTGATATCCCTTACCCCGTCTTATTTCCCAGTTAATTATGAAGACAATTACTTTTACACTCTTTAAACACTCTTTATTAGAATACCTATTACAAGTGCGACTTGTGGTGGAAGCTAAACTTCCCCGCCCATTTCAATCCATTCTTCAAATAAAGTTACATACAATGCAAGACAACTTTCATGCGCTTTTCGTCTATATTCGGCTGTTGCCCTTAATTATTTCCAGTAAGGGCCTACGGCTAAATTTCCTTCATCCTCATCACTGTCGTCTTCATCGCGACTTATTCCTCGTGTTCCTCCTGGTTGACGAATTTTCTTGACCCATTGTTGTAATTCTCGGTTGACTGACTTTAAACGGGGTTCTTTCCATGTATCCAGGGTAGGACTCTCCAACAAAAGTTCTTTTTGTGCGGCTAAACCTGCTGCTTTGGTTAAACGACTATCGTCTAAAAGATTAGATTTATATTTATCTCGCAAACGTAAAAATTGCACTGAGTTTTCAATCGGTGTGGATGAAATGCCGTCCATGCTTGCTAATGAAAATAAGAGTTTAGCCTTGTCTTTATATTGGTTTGGGTCTGTATCTCTCTTTGACTTTTTGTCGAAACTCTTTGATCATTTGTGATAGTAGAAGCAAATAGTCTAATAGACAAAGAAGTTGTTGTAACACTTTACGTTTCATGACTTAATAGCGATATTGTCGTTTAGCACAGTGATAACAGCGATGTAATTCTTTCCACGCGCCAGCGCCAATCTGTGAACTCATCAAATGTTTGCGCTTTTTTATACTCTGACGAGGGTTGGCGATGACTCGGAGAGATTGACGATACGGTTTTAAACGGCTCACTGTTTTTCTCCCAGGTTTAACACTCCCATGCAATGTGTTCATCACTAACTCACTCACGGCATTAATTTGATCTGCATTCGCATACCGTAATTTTTGTTGCCGCTTATTTTGGTTAGCTTCTTTTAACACATCGTTTAAAAAATGACTCTGTCTGGTCATACGCCCTGTCATGTTTATTTCTTTCTTTGTGTTCGTTGACGTCTCTTCCTTTTATACTTCTTTTTCTCTAACGCTTGGATTGCTTTCCTAGTACCAAATTTTGTTAATGCACTTAAACCTCCTAACGCAACCGCTTTTCCTCCAGCCGCTAAAGCTGGAATTGCTGCGGCTAACATGGGAGCAATCTCGCCTCGTTGCCTTCCTACCCCTGGTTTACCTTTTCTTCTTTTTGGTTGTCCTTTTCGTTTCATGTTTAAATTTGCGTTTGTTTGAGAGTGAACGGCTATTTATATCTTCGTCAAAGGTATGAACACGCGTAGCTCCCTCTTCTTTGGTTAAATGACTCCAAATACGAAAACAGTCATCGGAGGCAGGATGTAAATCCAACATAAAATACCCAAAAGGACGGGAGGTCAGCTTTAAAAACAATTTGAGTACTTGACGCCATTTTTCAGGGTACACTTGAAGCAGTAAATGTCGAATACCTGTCTTATCCCTGGGTGATTTAAAACAAATCACATAGTGTGCATTGCGGTTAATCGTTTTCGCAAACTTGCC